TCTGGGTGGCTTGGTCAGTTAAGCGACTGACTCCCAGTCGATTTCAGCTCAGGTCATGATCTCAGGGTTGTGAGATCTGGCCTGCCTGCTTAATATTCTCTCTCCCCCCAGGGCGCCTGGGTGGTTCAGTGAGTTAAAGCGTCTGACTTCTGCTCCCGTTGCGGTCTCGGGAGTCCTGGGGAATCAAACCCTGAGTTGGGCTCCGCACTTGGTGGGGAGTTGGCTTGTCCCTCACCCTCTTACCCAAATAAATAAAATCTTAAAAACAAAGACTCTCCCTCTGTCCCTCCTGCCCCCTCTCGTACTCTCTCAAAACAACAAAAACTATATAATGTACCCTTTGTCTCCCTCAAGTAAAAAGATTCTCAGTGTTCTGTAATTTGTTCAGACTACAGGTGAGGTAAATTCTTCTAACTGGCCTACAGGAGAGTGGGGAAATGTTTAACAGCGAAGTTCCAGATTGACTTGGAGTTAAAGCTTGGAAAGATGAGCCAATTTTGCTTCAAGTGCACTGTATTCCCTCATACTGTATTAAAAATAAAATTCCAGATGGAATGCAGATCTAAATATGAAAAGCAAAATGAAATTTGGGAGGAAAAAAAGAACATCTTCATTAATCTAAAATGAGCAAAGATATCTTAAATTGGATGCAAAGCTGCTAACCAGAGGCAGCTGGCTGGCTCAGTTGGTAGAGCATCATGAGACTCTTGATCAAGTTCAAGCCCCATGTTGCCTGTATAGGTTAAACAAAAACAAAAAAACAAAACAAAAAAACAACCTGCTAACCATTAAAGGGAAAATACTGGTAAGCTGGACTACATTAAAACTATGCACTTCTGGGGCGCCTGGGTGGCTCAATTCGTTAAGCCTCTGCCTTCAGCTCTCAGGTCATGATCCCTGGGTCCTAGGATCGAGCCCCATGTTAGGCTCTCTGCTCAGCGGTGAGTCGGCTCCATCTCTGCAGTGTCCTCCCTACCCCCCATGCTCTCTCTCTCTCTCAAATAAGTAAAATCTTTCTCTTTTTAAAGATTTTATTTATTTGACAGAGAGAGAGAGATCACAAGCAGGCAGGCAGAGGGAGAAGCAGGCTCCCTGCTGAGCACGGAGCTCGATCCCAGGATGCTGGGATCATGACCTGAGGCGCAGGCAGACGCTTAACCGACTGAGCCACCCAGGCGCCCCTCAAATAAATAAAATCTTAAAAAACAAAAAAAACAAAAACACCCCAAAACACAAAACTTATGCACTTCTGCTTCTAAAGCTATTACTAATAGAACGAAAGGGGAAGCCACTGAGGGTGCAAGGTATCTGTAATACACATATTAGAATTCATCCACAATATATAAAGAACTCCTACAAACTGAAAAGGCATTCCAAAATAGGCATTTCACAAAAGATATCCAAAAGGTGAATTAAGACATGAAAGGATGCTCAACTCCATTAGTCCGATGGGAAGTACATACTTTTATACACCCACAATAGCTAAAATTAAAAAGATAATACCAAGTGTTGGATGAAGATATGGAGCAACTAACACCCTCATGCTGGACATATGCACACCTTAAGATTTAACAATTCTACTCCTAGATGTTTATTAACAGAAAAGCATACTGTTCACTAAATGACATATTAGTGTTCATAGCAATATATTTGTAATAGCAAACTGTAATCTACTCAAATACCCATTAACAATAGAATGAAAAATTGTGTACACTGACACAAAACATCAAACATAAGGCTGACCAAAAGAGGCCTTATGTAATGATTCACACTAAATGATTCCATGTTATTTAAAGCTCAAAAACAGGGAAAACTAATCTAGAGTGGTTAGAAGTTGGGAGGAGAGGGTAGGATAGTAACTGGAAAAAAGTACAAGGGGGCATTTTCCCTTAACAACTTTTTTAATGTCTAGCATCTATAGCAAGGCCCTCTTAGGACATTTGTGCCTTCTCACAGTTAATCCTTTCCATGACCTTAGGTTATTATCTGTTTTTTTAAACAGTGTAATTTATTTACTTGTTTATTTTAATCCAGTCTGTTAATGTCCTCTATGACTTTAGTTGCATTTTAATAGAATTACTGAGTGGGGGTGTGGAGGCAAGGACTTTCTGGCTTTTATATTTTTATCATTAAATATTCATAAATTATTTAATGATAAAAATATAATGATGCTATCTAAAACTCTCTACTCGAATAAAAATACATCGAATTGCTAGGACACCCTTTAACATGTAGTCTTTTACACTACAATCTTGACAATTTCTCCCCCAGGCTCGTTTGCTTAAAAAAAGGAGAAAAGGAGGGGCGCCTGGGTGTCCCAGCAGGTTAAACGTCTGCCTTCAGCTTAGATCATGATCTTGGGTCCTGGGATTGAACCCCATGTCCCGCTCCTTGCTCAGCCCAGAGTCCACTTCTCCCTCTGCCCTCCCTGCTCAAGCTCTCTCTGGCTTGCTCTCTCTCAAGTAAATAAAATCTGAAAAAAGGGGGTGTGGTCTTTAAAGACAAACAAAACTCCCCCCAGAAGATGATATACTACTTAGAGTGGTTACTGTGTGTCAGTTTCTTAAATACTGTACATATATTAACCCACTTAATCCTCACAATGACCCTATGAAGGTGTGCACACTATTGTCTTCATTTTAGAGATGAGGAAATATCAAACAGCTAGCTATTGAATGCTGTCTGAATTCAAATTTAGATATTCCAAGGCAATGTACTTACTTCACCATTTCATTATGCATTACTCTTCTAGATTATAATCCTCCTCTGGAGCCCCTAACACCCAACTCCTCAAAAGACCAGAAGCCAATGATCCCTCTGGCCAGGCCACTGATTTTAGATGATTTACCTAGCATCTACTATTTTTCACGTATTTTTACCTCCTAGTTAATAACCTAACCTGTGCATCCTTGCCTGACAAGTCACAGAGAAAAGTTCCTACCAAGGTTGCCAATGGACTTCAGCTAAATGGAAGATTTTTCAGTTCTTCCTTGCTCTATCTCCAACAGCTGAAATGTGATATAAACTCTCAAAATAGTGCTTTAACTAATGTTTAATGTCTATAAAACGCTGTGGCACTAATAACGAACAAAACTGAATATTCTGTCCTTGAAGGTTTAACTTTTGCCATCATTTTAAGAGCCACACCAAGGGAGCAAAACAATTTCAGCAGCCGAAAATACAAAGGAAAAGTAGTTCTCAGACATTTAAAGAAAGCAAGCCATCCTTTTATGAGCCTTTCTCCCCCCCTTTGACTCAGGGAACTCAACGAGGAAAGCCCAAGCTTAAATTCTGGTATTTTTACCTAAGAACTTGGAGGGAGGAAAAACCCTTTCCTTTATTAAGAATGTGTGCTTACAAATAAAGCTTCCAAACATTTAAAGAGCAAGAACAAAACAATTTGTTATCCACCTTATACGACTCACCCACTAGTTCTTCACTGACAGGATTTTTCTAACATTATCTAATCACAATGGTTTCATCAGACGCATACCACCACCACCACCACCACCACGGAGTTTTCCCCTTTGTGAAATGGAGGAAATACTAAGCTTCCCCGTATTTGTAAGTAACTGCTTCCTATACTATAAAATGTTTAAAGCTCAGCCTGGCACGTAGTAAAAGGCTACCTTAGACATCTTAAGTGTCGCACAAAGCTTGAAAAATGAGACCTGTCACATTTTAGCTAACACGACGCTTTCCAGCAGAAGAATCCTTCAAGATAGATATACTGCCTTAAAAGTCCCGGCAGCACGTGTCCGCCTGGATTCCCTTCTCCAGTTGCTTTTTGTCAGGGACGGCAGCGAGCGCAGCCTACATTCCTGAAACGCCCATTGGCCCACACCCTGGGGCCAGGCTCTCTGTCGGGCCCCGGAGCTCATTGGTCGTCGCCTCAATGAGGCAGCCGCGCCGGTTCCTCCGCCGCACCGCCACACTCGCCGCACTTGTGCGCCGAAAAGCAAGGGGCGGCTATCGGTGTGAGCGCCGCGGAGAAAGGCCCAGCACCTTCGCAACCGCCTGCGCTTTTGCGCTTAGTTTTCCCCAAACCACAAGACCTCTCCTTTTCTGCCCGATCAGCCCAGCCCTCTCGCGTGACTGCCCGGGGTGGGAGGCTGGGGCCCCAGATTCCTTTGCAGGCTTAGGCACTAAAGGTATTATGTCCTGGCTCGGACGGGCCTCTAGCCCGTAAATGCAGTCAAACCTTCCAGCACCCCGCACCTCGCCCGGAACCCGCCGACGCGGTAACAGGTTTCACTCCCAAGGTCAAAAGTCTCGGGGGGCAAGCCAAGGTGGGCTCCGCGGCCGTCTCCCGGGGCCGCCCCGAAAAGGATTTGGTGCAGAGCACGTTAAGGCGGCGGTGGGGCCCAGCCACTGCGACACTGCTCCCGCCCAATCCCCGCCGCCCGGGCGCCACATGCTGCCAGCGCGGACCGCGGGCGGGAGGCCTGCGCGCCAGACCCTCCGTCCGAGACCGGGAGAGCCCCCTCCTCCCGCAGCACGCGGAGAGGAGCCCGGCTTCAGACTCGCTCCCTCCCTCCCCGCTCTCCGAGACGGGCACGCCCAAATTAGCGCCTGACTAAGCCTGTCGAGCCACACCTGCCGGGAGGCAGCCCGCGCGGCCCCAAAACGTCCCCACCCGGGGCCCCGGACCGCCAACTCCGGAGGGGAAAGCCGGACGGCGCGGGCCCACAAACCACCCCCAGTGGCGCCGCCCGCCGCCCCGCACGCCGCGCGGGAGACGTTACCTGAGCACGCGGCGCGCCGGCCTCCTCCCCTCCCCCCGGGCAGCGCCCGGCCCAGCAACGGCGGCGGGAGGAGCCGGCTCGCGCCCCGCGTGGACGCGGCCGCGGCCGCTTCCCCCCCTCCCCCAGCACCGGGGCCCCCTCCACGGCCACCGAAACGAGCCCGGACCGGAGACCTGCCCCCACCTGAAGGCTGCGAGAACCCGGCCCCCGCCCGTGGCTGATGCCTTCGAAGCGGCGACAGCCCCCAGCACCCACCTGGGGATGGTGCGAAGATCTCCAGATCCTTGGTTTGCGTCGGGCTGCTGCCTGGAGAACCAAACCTCCAGTAGCTTCTCGGTCCCTTCGAAAAAATGTGCAGCTTCCATCACCGTGAGACTAGCGAACAACCAACAACCACAGAAAATCAACTAAATTAAATCTCTTCTCCCGCCGCTGCCGCCGCCGCTGCGGATTGTTCCAGCTGTGTTACTAAAGTTCAGGTTCCTTTTTTTGCTATAATTTTATATTAACTTTTTTTTTAAAAAAAAAGGATTAATAAAATTTTCCCGGCTTTTTTTTTTGTGAGCGAAAGTTGAACGTGAGTCTGTTGGAAATAGAGGCAGATACAGTTCAGTCTCTTGTAGTCCGCTGTTTCCCCGTTAAAGAGAGTAGAGCGAGCGCTAGCTAATGTCGCCGGCCATACTGTGGAAGCGAGGGCGCTGCGTGAGCACCGCATTTATATACCCCATCTACCCCGAAAGGCCAGGAAGTGACGCAGCATCCCGCCCCTGAGGCTCATTGCTGCGGCCGCCTGTCAATCAGCAGCCGCCGAGTTGCGGATGGCTGGCGGCCCGCCTGCCGGGAGCGCGGGGAGCTGCCCGCCGTGCTGCGGTTCAGCTTCGAGCTGTTCCCTGGGCGGGAGACGGCGCTGTGTGGTCCGGCTGGGGATTAGGAACCTGGGGTCGAATGCGGAATGGGTGGGGAGAACGGGAAAGGAGTGAGGAAAGGCTGTGCCGCGCTGCGTTAAACAACTGATTAGCAGAGAACATGGGTGGATCCTTAGGAAGGGTTGGCGGGGTTCGGCGGGGGCGGTGGCCACTGCTGGGATGGCGTGGTGGTTTTGATCCTGTGCAGTTCACCGCGATTGCTGAGGTACTTGGCCATTCTCTGAAGTGCGTTTCCCCAAGGCGAAAGAAGCCACGCATTAAAACTCAACACTTGTCCGTGACGCACATGTTGCTAAAGGTCGGATTAGAAGGCGCTTTAATTCGGCTCGTGCCTTAGCTGATGTGCGAGTAAATGCAGTTCTCGACCCGTTTACACAATAGCCAGAAGCGTTGTCTCCCTATTTAAAAGAGAAAAGCAACGTGGCGCCCAGCCTTGGAGGGCTCCGTCTCTACCTACCTCCCACCATGTGGCTCGCCAAGCCTTGGAGTTGGCCGAGTGCAGCAGCGGCCGTGAAAACACTGGCAATTCCGTCCTCGATTAGGTCAACTGGTGGGAATTTATTTTGCAAAACTATTTGTAGACACTGGTTTATTAAATATAATCTGAAATTGTTTGATAATTTTTTTCTTTGAATGTTCTCAAACTAATGAACTAGTTGAAAGCCCTCCCCCAATTTACAGTGATATCATCTCACGTGCTTCAGAAGAATTTGGAAATTCATATAACAGGCATTCTGACATATCACTAGTGGTGATTTAAAGAACCATGAATTTAAAAAAAATAACCATAAATTTAATACCTAAGTGATCAATGTGAACTGTAAAATAGTTGGCAAGTCGCAGTTTTCAAACAGTGGCAAAATTGTGGTAACAAAGTTACGACTTTTACTCGGGAATATGGGAGGAAAAAAACCCAGCCTGACATAAAAATTACCATTGTCACGGGTGCCTGGGTGGCTCAGTTGGTTAAGCGACTGCCTTCGGCTCAGGTCATGATCCTGGAGTCCCGGAATCGAGTCCCGCATCGCGCTCCTTGCTCAGCAGGGAGTCTGCTTCTCCCTCTGACCCTCTTCCCTCCCGTGCTCTCTATCTCTCATTCTCTCTTTCTCTCAAATGAATAAATAAAATCTTTAAAAAAAAAATTACCATTGTCACAACACAAGACTTTTTTCCCTGTCATCCATAGAGAAAGACTTCCCTCAACCGAAAGTGAAATGAGATAATGTTTTAAGCGTGAAAAACCTAGTGAAAAAGACGTGGTTTGAATTTGCACTCTAGATTCCCTCCAGGGTAGTATTTGTCTTACAAGAACGTGAATTTGTTCACATTTCTCCATGAAACCTGTTGAAAGAAGGTATGTTGTGTGGTAGGTACATAGACTACTCTTGCCATTTTTTTAAAAGCATCCAACTCAAACTGGGAATTGGGACAAAAGATAAATGTTGCTTATTTTATGATAATAATTCAAAGAGAATGTGGCGGTTATACTTGGAATAAAGATAAAAGAAGTATTTACGTGTTTTACAAGCTATTCAATTATTTGATGGCTGCTTATTGAAATGAAGAATCTGTCTACTAAACCACCTCAAACGCTAATTGTGGTGTAAACATAATTTGGCTTATAATTGCTTATAATTAGTTGCTTTTCAATTACTATTATGCTTTTTCCCAATGCAATTTAAGTTAATATAAAAGTGCCAAGAATCTTGGCAAGGTAAGTCCTTGTTAATTTGATAGAGGATAATTTAAACAGTGTTTACCAATTGGATTGGTCCTTTGTAAAATATATTATTTTTCTTACGCATCATTACCCTCTTGAGGCTCAAAGACCCTTGTACTAATTACTAAGTTGGTCAGTTAATCTCATTTGAATATTTTGCTAAACTTAATATGTCCAAAACATATCTTTGGCTCCCTCAGATGATTTACCACAGAGCAAACCTGAGTGATTTTTTTATTTTATTTATTTTTAAAGATTTTATTTATTTATTTGACACAGAGAGAGACAGCGTGAGAGGGAACACAAGCAGGGGGAGTGGGAGAGGGAGAAGGAAGCTTCCCATGGAGCAGGGAGCCCGATGCGGGGCTCAGCCCCAGGACTCTGGGATCATGACCTGAGCTGAAGGCAGATGGTTAACGACTGAGCCACCCAGGAGCCCTGCCTGAGTGATTTTTTTAAACATAAATCCAATTATGACACTTCCCTTAATATTTAAAAATCCTCCACTGGTTTCACCTTACACTTAAAAGCAAAATTCTTTACCTTAGCCTTCAAACCTTTACATGATGTGGTCCTCAACTAATTTTTCTCTAAGCCCATCTGCATTGTTCACTCCCTACGCCCTAGGCATACTGACTTTTCTCTTTTTAGGTCCTTTTCATTTGTCTCAAATGCTCTTTCTCCACTTTGTATAGCTTTTTCATTCTTTTCACTTAGCTCTTAGCCTAAATGTCACTGCCTCTGAGAGGTCACCTGTAGTAGTAAGGCATAGGCTAAACTAAGATAACAAGGAGACCCTCAAATACAGTAACTCAAGGAAAAGGTTAAAGTTTATTTCTCTTTCACATAACATCCAGAGGCAAGGAGGTGGTAAAGGGTGAGTGGGCAGCTCTGCTTTGGGAGATCATACAGGGACCCTGGTTCCTTCTCGCCTGTTCTTACCACAGGATACAATCTTCATTCACATGATTAAAGCTCATCCACATCTGTCTATATTCCAGCCTGGAAAAAAAGAAAAAAGAGAAAATGCAGAAAAAACAATTTTCTTATGAAAATAAGACCTGGAAATTGCAATATCAGTTCTGCTCACTTAGTCACATGTTTACACCTAGCTGCAAGGGAGGCTGGAAAATATGGTTCCTACTTGGGTAGTTAGTTGCCTGGTCAAAACTTGGCCGATTCTGTTACTTAAGAGGAAACAGGGAGAGAGTGGATGTGGGGGCCATTCTCCAGGCCTACCACACCTTTCCTTACTTTCTAATCTGCAGTAGCCAAGTAGATACTCCCTAACACACCATTCTGCTTTAATTCTCTGCATAATTCTTACTGTTCTCTTGTATTTACTTATTTGTTGATTGTCAGGTCTCTGTTGGATTTTAAGCTATGTAAAAGCTTGTTTGTCTTTGCTTAAAACTGTATAGCATTGCCCCAAAAAAGTATTTGGCACAATATATTCAATCAGTATTAGCTGAAACATGAATTTTTAAGTGCCCTCCTGATAGATCCTGCTCTTTCAAACTAATCTTATCTCCCAGCATGCCCTCAAAGCCCCTCCCCCAATTCTTCACACTATAAAAATCTTATTCAATTTCCAATACTAGCCATAATTCGGGCGCCTGGGTGGCTCAGTTGGTTAAGCGACTGCCTTCGGCTCAGGTCATGATCCTGGAGTCCCGGGATCGAGTCCCGCGTCAGGCTCCCTGCTCAGCAGGGAGTCTGCTTCTCCCTCTGACCCTCTTCCCTTTCGTGCTCTCTATCTCTCATTCTCTCTCTCTCAAATAAATAAATAAAATCTTAAAAAAAAAATACTAGCCATAATTCCACATAACATTCTCTAGGACAATACTCTAGCACACACTGACTATATTATCTCTTGGTACATGGTAAATTACACAAACTTAGTTGCTTAAAACAGTACACATTTATTATCTCACTATTTGTGTGGGTCAGGAGTTTGCACATGGCTTAGCTGAGTCCTCTGTATCAGGGTCTCTCTCAAGACCACAATCAAGATACTGGCCTGTGCTGCAGTCCCATCTGAAGGTTTAACTAGGAAAGGAGCTGTTTCCTCGTTCCCATGGTTGTTGGCAGAATTCAGTTCCTTACAAGCTACTAGACTGAGGGCCTTAGTTCCTTGCCATAGGTCCTTTGCCATATCTTGCTTCATCAAACCCAGAAACAGAGTATGCTAGTAAGCCAGAAGTTACAATCTAATATAACATAATTACGGAGTGGCATCCCATCAGCTTTGCACCATTATCATATTCTATTGGTTAAGAAAAGTGGAATAACGTCACAAGTTCTACCCACACTGAAGGGGGTGCATTCCATTAGGGTGTGAATACTGGGAGTCAGGGATCATTGAGGGCCAGTTTAGAACCTACCTATCATCACATTCAGAAGCATTTATTAATTTTTTAAAAAGATTTACTTATTTTTTTGAGGGGGGAAGGGGTGGAGGGAAAGGGAGAGAGAAACCTAAGCCAATTCCACACTGAGCGCAGAGCGCAACATGGGGCTCAGTCTCACGACCCTGAGATCATGACCTGAGCAGAAACTGAGAGTTGGAGGCCCAACTGACTGTGCCACCCAGGTGCCCCTCCAGGAGCATTTATAATTAAGACCACACAATTTACCATTTAATAGCTTCATTGTTGGTTTAATATGCCAACTAAACTGGCATATCCATATCTTCTATTTTGATATCCCAATCTCAAAACCAGGCACATATGTAAGTTTTCATAAACTTTTGGAACAAATTTAATGTGATTGGGGGGTGTGCTAGAGCTGGCTTCTTCTTGTTTGCAAGAGCCACTTGTTAAGTTTTCAGAACTTTTAGGAGCCAATTGACACAGGTAGGTTGAATTGGCCACAGTGGGAGCATTTACTTCAAGGAAATTGGTAAACTCTACAATTAGGGTTCTCCATACCTTCTAAGATTCAGTTGTAAAACATTGACCAGTATACCACTGGTGGTCCCAAATCTGTCACATTCATGGTGTTGAAAACATCGTTTTCTCTAACGTAAATGTG